AATCATGTTTAAAGGAACTAATACAGATTAAAGGAACTATAACAGATTAAAGGAACTACTACATAAAGGAACTAATGAAAATTAAGGGGGGTATATTTTAACCCGTCACACATGTACTACTACATGTGAACTGGAATGTAAATTGAATCTACCGTACATGTAAATGTGTTCCACTTGTGCAAATTGGCAGTGGGAAACATGTTGCGCTATGACAAATTGGAATGGGTGAGGGCAGTCAGCCTTAAAATGAACCAACTCCTAATGTGCATCAACATTATTTCTGGCTTTATTGAACTGGTACATGTAAGCATGCTTTCGTGCCCCCCTCTCATTGAATGTTCCGCATCAGGTAGAACGGATGAGTCTTCAGCCTTGAGCAAGTCAAGCCCTGTGCAAATTAAGGCCTTCGCACAAAAAATGTCTATCCCAGAGAGAGCAGTGGCTGTACTTTTTGACTCCAATTGCAATTATTGATTAGTAGCAGCAGTTCGCACCGATAAAAAGTGCACAGCAGAGATTCTGGGACTGATTTTTTTCCAATTGCCTGTATCGGTGTCCATCTAATGCATGTGTACATACAGTTCCTCAGATGGGAATGTGTAGATCGAGATGTACAAAGTGTTCACTGGGAGTGTTATTGACACAGAGTTTGCAATACAAGACTGCTCATATCATGACTCCAGACTCCTTAGCCTGAGAAATACATTTCAGAGAAGTTGATTTTTGCTCGTTTAGCCTCATTGTCTGCGGGTAAGTGTAAATGCTTGTGCATGGCATTTTTTTTTATCTCAGAGTCCCCGTTTTTTTTCCTGCTAGAGTAATCATGATATTTACTTGTACACCACACAAAAAATATCAATGATAGTATGAATTGATTCCCCTGCTCACTGTAAACTAAAATGAAAAAGAGTTTGGCAGCAGTGGAACTTTCCGGAAATTTTTCCAAATATATCTAAAAATCAAGTCCTCACAAATTACAAACTCGTAGCATTTCCATAAGCCACTTGAGCCCCCTCCCCTTCCCCCCTCCCCCTCCCACCGAGATTTTAGTTGAGAACACGTACACTTGATCTATTTGTTGTAATATGAAAATAGAGACGCAATGTATGAAAACTAATGCCATCCCCTCAAGTGTGAACAGGAACGATCCCTGACACCTCAGGGTCTATCTTACACTCTGGCCCTGTCACCCAACACCTCAAATGCTCCATTCTTTGCCTCTATGAATTCTGTTAAGTGATTGATAACCTGCAAACATGAATTTTAAAACAGATTCTCTTGGCATTGATGGCATGAAGGTTTCCTCTCGGTATGCCTAGAGGCAGTGGAGGAAACATCAAAGAGGAAAGGGAATGCATTATTTGTGTTCTCTTTTGCATATACAGCTATAAAAAATGCAGACTTCATGATGTATAATGCATCACCTTTTTGCCACCTTATTATCAGTAAAATTGGGGCAAGTATCTCTACCCAGTACTGTACTTTTCCTTATGAGTTTAACTGTACTGAACATCATTTTAATAATTTAGTATGTACATGTATGCAGGGCCCCAATGGAAACCAGTTTTTAACTGGGCATCCCTTGGGTAAAGAAATGGAATGAATAAATCAATCTATAACTTCTTTTGAAATAAATTGCCTCAGTTAACACACTCTTTTTGACATTTTTTGCGAGGAAACACCTGGCTCCTGAAATGTTTCACTCTACACTGTCTGCAGAGAAACCTAATACCACAAGTAACTGTACCTAGGCTCCACACATGCTTGTACTTTGCTTAATCTTGGGAAATCCTCCTAACCCTTCTTGTTGATTTTGAAATATCTGAGGGTCAGGGTTGAAAATTGAAAATTGTATAAATGAGAAAAAGAATTCATCTAAATTGCAAATTTACATTCAGCCAGGAAAGTTGGTGGGTTTTTTTTATGAAGGGGGGAATAATGATGGCTGGAGAGGCTATAGCAACAGTGAACTCGGAAAATGATCTTGGAGGCCATTTTGAAAATTTAAGGCCTTTGCCTTCCTATTCATTTTTCCTTTAATAGCTAAACTGATAACTCGATTTATTTTGCCTTAATTTAATACACCTGGTAATCAGTTATGTGATTTTGAAATATCCATTTTTTTTTCTTAGAGGGAAGGTTATCTTGGTTGCAAGTAACACTCGCTCAATAGCTTAAGTATTAAATGATATTACCTTTTGTCTTCAGCGCATAGCAGTTTACCGTAACCTCGGCCTCAATTAAGGTCTATATCCAACGTGGCCTTTGGGAGTTACACAAGTATTGATTAATCAAGCCACCTGAAAATAGATGAAGGTTATTTTGTGAATGAATATGATCCCAACCTTCACGCCAAAGTGTGTATTGCTCACCTAAGTATTGATCATTGGAAAATTAATCTTGACATTGGACTTGGAGCGGAAGGTTGTACATTTTCCTTCATGACTAGCATTTTACTCTCTTTTTTCGACTGGTACACTGTTAGTAAAAAAAATAGCCACAGCGGTTGAATAATATACTATTGAAATCTCTGAATTTTAATTAAAATTTCCAGAAAGTGCAGCTAGAGCCCTACTGATTTACAAGTGCCTTTATTTTCAAGGTCGACTTCCTGCATATTTTCTCCTACAGATAACCAAGCATACATCATTGTTTATGGGCCGTATCATACACACAAGGACCCGTTTATGCAATAAAAAACCTTCCTGCATAAAAATTTATATTCAAATCATAAATTTCCTAATAAAAGCATGCATAAATGAAATATATAAAACTACCATGGTCCATGTCCACTCAAAAGTATCCGGCAGTGTCAACAAACAGATGTTGACTCTGTCCCATGATGCACTGCCAATGAGGCAGGATTTGCGTCGCCAAATACAGTTATTGCTTCAATTGTGACAATATTTTGATTTTATATAAAGGGTAAGGAATAGAAATTGATCAAGCCTAGTCGGTTGTTTTTCTTCTTTCAGTTCAGTAGACAAGGAGCTATGGTTCAAGCTGCAGAAAATGATAACAATAAATAATCCAGTTTGTTATCTCAATGAAGTAGTCATTCGGGATCAAATCGCTGACGCGATGTTACGCAAACGCCAATGCTGCCCGTAATTAACGTGTGTGCGTCTTGCGACGTCTCCCTGTGCGTTCATGTGACTTCAATGAGTGTTTGATTATCCTGAATGACCTGTGACCTATATCATTTTGCGCATGCGCAGCATCATGGGCGTCGCCAGGATTTTTTCTAGAGGGGGGCAAACATTTTTTTGCCAAAAAATGCTTGTATTTCTCAACACATTCTCGATTTATCAGTTTTAGAGGGGGGCAGGGACATTTTGCCCCCCCCCCCAACTCATTAAATTTACACCACTTTGTCTTCGCGCCTCTTTTCCTTTTCTTTTCTTTTCTTTTTTTTTCTTCCTTTTTTTTCTTTCTTCTTTTTTTGTGCTTTTCCAGGGGGGGGGGGGGGGGGGGCAAGTGCCCCCCTTGCCCCCCCCCCCCCCTCGCAACGCCCATGTGCAGCATTACTGAACTGGCTTATTACTTACCTCTTCCACCTGCAGCTCTGAATCCTCTTAAATCTAAACTGGTTTTGCTGAATTTTGATGGATACAGACTGCACAGCCCAACTAAAAATTACTTTGATTGGGGCTAATTCATACCCCAATTGTTGTCAAACAAATCTAATAGCACTGCCATTCACTGTTTAAAAGGGAAGTGCCATATTTAACCCCCAAAAAAGGAAAAAAGTGCACTTGGAATACAACAAGTTAATATAAAAGAATCCATTCAAGCAGCTTGTCTAGACCGGCCTCCTTTTCCCAGGTCAGTGCACAGTACCTTGTTGTTTACAGCACAGTCAGTGACTCGGGTGGATTTAGGTGGATTTAGGTAGCTAAAATACCTAGGGAGTTACGTGGTAAAACATCTCTCACTGGATAAAAACAGGAAATGTTTTCAATGTTTTGTAACGGTTTACTTAAGCAGAGGTTTGTTTAAGAAAGCCCCGACTATGGATATGTTAAAACACAGACTCAGTCGTTATGATTAATTTTTTAGAGCAATGAGATACCTCATGCTATCAGATCAAGTGCGTAAGTCTGTGGACCTTGTGTTTCCATAAATCACCTGCATTGTGTGAAAGTGATATCGTCAACCTCTACGATAAAATCTGTGCCATGCTTCTAACTATGCCGTGTTAAAGGGCCCATCATACATAGAAGTCAATGAATGTTGAACAAAATGTACACCTTGTTGAAAAAGAATTTCATGAATCATTAACCAATTAGTTACTTTAGATATCGTCAAGTTCAAATTGATTTTCGATTTTATCAAATTCAGGAAAGCTTAATCAGTAAAACCTGAAAAAAACCTGCAAAGAAGGGCAGGGGCTAGCAAAGCATTTCACAAAGTAAAACTAAAACAAAGTCGTTCGGTACACCTGAACATCCCAAAATACCACTCAAGGCAGCCTTTATCAGTGAGATGCTGCACTGTTCATTCAGAGTTGAAGTCAAGCAAAGTCACAAATGACAGGGATGAATGGCAAAGGAAGTTTTGTCGCATTCCTCTCTAATAGCTTGTCTCTTGACTTGAGGCTGGATGACTTGTGACTGACTTGTACCTGTGACTCATGATCCAGGACCTTAGGGGAGTCAGGTTGGCACAGTGCTTACTTTCCTGGCCTTTGACCGCTGCGACATGGGTTCGATTCCTGCCCTGGTCCACAAGTGGATTGGGTACAGCCCCTACCTGATTCCATGGGTTTCCCCAGAATATTCTTCTGGGGTTTTCCTCCCACCTCTAAAACTGTTATTTCTGCTCCTTGTCTTCTTCTCACAGGTTTCTTCTTTTGAGCTACAGTGTATATGGCGCTTTTGAGGAATCCTTGGTTTCATTACCAGAAAGACATAAATAAATAAACAAAGAAATAACTAAATAAGACCTGACTTTAAGTTTGCTTATCCTAAGACATGTCACTTTGCCCACTGTGCTTTCAGGTTCCAGACCAGTATCTTACTCTCATTGGCTCAAGATTGATGCGGAGGAGAAGGTAAGAGGAGAAAAGAACGGCAAACCCCGGGAGAAGCTGACTTCCATCGAAGAGATGCTCCACTATGCTTTCAGATAGGGAACAGGGATAGGCCAAGATAAGCAGGTACATTAGTCTTAATCTAGCAGTGTCTGCTGTGGTCTGAATGACCCACATTTATCTGTTCATTATTAACACATTGACTCTCCGAGGCAAATTGAGTGAAAAGAACGGAAGGTTTTTCCGAAGTTCGTTGTTGAGAATGTCCACATTAAGTAGCTCCCTTGCCTTTGCCTCATTAAGGGTCATGACACCGTAAGTACTTGCGTAATTAAGCTTTGACAGCTTAGCTGTTGATTGCATTCAAAAGACTGATACGTCTTGACCACATAGGCCCAGAATTTGCAGTTGTTAGAGTTGGTGCAAAATAATTAGAGTCAGGTTTTTAAAGGAGTTTAAAGGAGTTTTCCTTGAGGATCATGCATCTGAATTGGTTACTTTTCCACAATCCAACTGGATACCTCGGTATCCATTTTTGGATTGAACTATTTTCTCAGGTAGTATCAGTGAAAAGCTAGAAAGCTTTGCTTATTTAAGATACAGGGGTTGTGTTCCGTCAGATGTGACCAAAAACCAATGTCATAGAATTCTCTCTACTCTGGCAACACAAACTTTTAACGGATTGTACATGGAGCATTTGTGTTGCCTCATCAATCATAATCATAACACACATCCTCCTGCACAATGAACAGGCCTTGCATGCCTATGGAGACCAGAGTATGTTTGTGTATCTAATCCATTAGGGGCACACAAAGACTAACGATATCTACAGTTACATTTGCGAAGCCCAATGGAACTATTTATTGAAAGGAGTAATTGCATTTACCCACAAATCATAGTATATCTAGCGCATGCTCTATTTGTACAACTCAGTTGTTGGCTAGTTGAACCAAATCCCCATAGCTTAGGCCTATGTTCAGTTACTGCAGCATTGAGCAAACAACCAATGGTTCTATAAAGCCATGGAATAGAATTTAAACATCTCTGAAAAGACCTTATCAACACAAACATTTAACTGGCTGGGGTGGTGTACAATAGATTCTTATTTGTGTTGTTTTGTTTTGTTCATGTTTTGTTATGTTTTATAACAGTAGTATTTGTTTTGTTTTCTTTTATTTTACGTTTTAATCTGTACAATAACTTACGAAAACCACGAGTAGACTTGATGAATAAATAAATGATCATGTTGATTGTTGTCAAAAAAAATAACAATATTTTGTAATGCAATTCGGATTACATAAATTAAAAAAGGGTTCATACAAAACAGTGTCATGACTTTTTTTTTTCTTTTTCTTTTTGGTCTTTGTTTCATAAGAATACTTCAGATTGTTTCTGAGGGGGGAAATCCAATGTATATTTCCTGTTTACACAAAATCTTCAGCTCACATTTCATTCCACTTATCCCCACTTCTAGACTTCGGAGTAGAAAATCTTCAAAACTCCCACATATTGAACCCTTTGGACGTAGACTTTGGCTTATGTTTCAAATGTCAGTATAGTTGAGTCAATCAAACCAAATGAAGACTTCGATTTGTTACATACAACTTGATACGTTGCTTTCATGCCTGCAGCCTGTGTTAAGTAAGTGACCATGATCAAGCTTTGGGCAGTAATAAGCCTTTCCTTAACCTGTTTGCACTAAAAAAAAAACATTCTGACATTTAAAACTTATCAAATCTTATCATTCACAAAATTACTCACACCAGTTTTTAGCGATGGATTGTAAGTAAAAAGGCATATGTGTGCCAACAATCTCAAATAAAGTCATACATTTTCAATAACACGTAAATAAATTATATACAACAGTGACGTTTAATGATGCATGTACAGATTTCATAGATAAAATATTAGCATTGAATTTTAATTGAAGTCTGACAACGAGATTGAAGTAAAATATTTGCATTTTATTACAACAGGGGAGGAACACCTTAAATATTTACTCGGGTTATTTATTTCTTTTCTTTTTCCTTTTTCTTCCCTTCATTTTTGTGCTTGAGACCGCACCTTTGGACACAAGGGTAAACTCGGTGTATTAAAGTATGTTTGCTTGCCGTGACACTGTTGTCCCAGCTGCCTGTAAATAAAATATTGCTGGAAAGCCTGAATCGCCAGGTCTGACATTGACGAATTGCTACATCAAGTGGCTGCATTTGTTTTAATCCGTTTTACTTCTATTTTGCCTGGAACCGGACTTTCACATACGAATGTTGCTTTCTGAAAGGTTTAGTGTGTTGAATCATAATGGATGGTCTCTTATTTTGATGCCGAAGTCGGTATTTTGATGCCGGTGGCTCGTTATTTCTAGATGCCGGCAAAACATTAACTCTACTGACATGTACCTTGCTCTATGTTGTTTTATAATGACGTCTATGACGACGGGGGAAATGTAAAATTAGTTACATTGTGCATAGCAGAACATATTTCAAAATTATGTCAAAGATCGTATGTTGGTGATAGTGGCTTGACAGTACAATGGCATGGTCGCGTAAGACTGAGGTCCTTTTACCCTAAATTGAACTCGCTTCCTCTTTGATGTACAGTTGAAAGACAATATGTCATACCAATTAAATCATGATGATGATGATGGCGGTCACACTAGGTAGAATATGACTTTCGGTATCGTCACATGTGGGAGATTAGTCCAATGCTGTGAGTGGTGGCAAATCTGCAATTGTTACGGTACATCTAAAGGAGAGACCTGGAGTTAACTCCAAAGATATTTTCCCTCCCCGTTTGGCGCCTCTTATTCCTCCTATGTATAAGGTCTCATTAGCAGCCCGAGAAGCCTGTCTAGCAGCTCCACGCCAATTACATCTGTCAGAGGCAGTGACCTCCCATGTGTTCAGATCTAGACCGCCAGTCTTCAGGTGCCGCTTCATGCAGTCCTTGTATCGAAGACGTGGTCTTCTTACGTCCTGGGTCCATGGGATAGAGTTGGCCATATAAAACAGATCTGGGTAATATTTCATCTTCCATTCGGACCACAGGGCCAACCCATCTGATCTGCTTCTGACAGAGGAGTCGTTCCACGGCCACGGATGGCATCTGAGCCCTTTCAAGGAGTGTCCACATTAAAAATCTGATCTCTTTGTTTGAAAGTAAGCAAAGACTGACAAGGGAAGCTCAACTTCAAACATAAGAGTGGTTATTATGTACAAGTATTCGTTGCTAGTTCCCTTCTGACCGTGTTGCCATACATATTGTGGTTTCCTCTTTGAACAGTTTTTTCCTTCAAATACACACCTTGCCAATTACTTTAGTCAATGCTTTTTGAGCAATATATTTTATTAAAGTTGCAATGCTCGATCGGCTATTTGTCAGTGCTTCAATCATAACGGGCTTCACCCCGTGATGAGTGCATGCAGGTCATTCACCGACGTGTATTGATAGCGTGGTTTTTCATCACTGCAACGAGTGGGTGTAAGCTGGTTAACCTGTTCTTATACTTCCGCCTCCCACCTCATTTATCAATTGCCTCCCAGAGTCTTGAAGGGATATATTCATCAAGTTTCGTCAAGATTATGTGTGATGCGTGCTGACCTGTGAAGAAAATGGTGTGGACAATGTTTGGCAAGATAGAGGAAGAAGATTTTTCAGTGTTCCCAGTGTCAGTAGTCCTTCAAATACTTTCTTGAGTGTCTCGAATTTTTGGTATGATCTTTTTCTCCTCTCACTATGCTGAGAATTTGCTTTGTGACGTTGTCCAGTTCAGATGTGGACAGGATAAAGGTCAGGTGTGATTGAATGTCATAAACATGAAGCTTAATTAAACAGTACCCCGAAAATGGAGTTGGTGAAAGTACCCCGTGAAAGACACTGCGCAAATATGGCCGTACTTCGTACCTATCTTTCTGAATTTCATATTGGCGCTTTAATACACTCCTCACATCTTTCACCCCTGTGACCGAAGTTCGAATCCCGTCTTGACTGATTTGGATTGGATTGTCATTCTGTGGATTTCCCCTGGATTAAGTTCCGGGGTTTTCATCCACATCTCAAAACTGAATGTCTTCACTGTGTTCTCCGTATGATTCAGTTGGCGTAGTTGTACTTTCTTCGCCCGTAGCTTCCACCGCTGTGACCCGGGTTCGATTCCTGACTGGGCCAATAAGTGGATTTGGTTTTCAGTCCCCATTGGATTGTGTGGATTTTCCTCAGAACATTCTTCTGGGTTCCCTCTTCTCTGTAATGGGCCCCATCGGAGTGGATTCCAGTTAAACTAGGAATTTAATAAATAAACGAGTTCTCTTAGTTTCTGATCTACATTGCGTGTGCCCTTTTGAGCAACCCTTGTTTTCATCATCCCAAAGACATAGAATAAATAAATAATTAAAACAAACTTGTCCCAGTGTTGTCCTTAGCCGTGTATAGCGGCAGTATATACCGATTTTATCTGGCCATGCCCGAGGCGTCCCTGTGCTTTCCTGTCCTACTTCACCTAATTACATTAAATGTGGCAGCGCCGTCCTAATTTGGCTGCCTCCAAAACGACCGTGCCTGTCGATAACATCGCTCTCGTTCCTCACGATTTCTCCAGTGATTGTCAACAGTCATCAAGATAAACTCTCCAAAAATACGGTGTTGAGATGAGAACTTGGTACAGTACAGAACCTACGGTAGTTTATTTGTGTAGCGGTACTATTTATTTATTCGAAACCAAAACGGATAATTGCAGAGAAGGGACAATGGTACTTGAAATGTGTATACGTTGAATGAGCAACGACACGCGCTGTTTGCTGTTTGTGTATACATTGCCTTTTTGTATCCCCGAAATGCGTTAGCGCGCACGAGCACCTAATTGAAAATGAGAACTCGTACACTTCAGAACATAGTGTATTTGTGTATGCAGTGCCATTTATGACTCGAAACCATTACTGATACTTGCAGAATAAGGCAGGATGATACTTGAAAGTGAGCTCATGTTGAATTAGCCAATTTAAAATGACACGAGCTATTTCCCAGTGCATAAGCTATAGGTGTCCTTTCTTTTCTGCAAGATAAAAAGTTCTTTATTGAAATGTGAAGTACTCGAAAACCAATTCTTACGTGCACTCAGAGTAAAGACAAAATGATAGTTGATACTTGAATTATGCCTTCACGTCGAATTAGCAATTTTCCGAGCTGTTGGGTGTTTGTGTATTAAAGTCAGCAAGAAAGAAAGCAACCTGACAGGAAAATCTATAAACTAAGAAACGTAATGTTTATTTAATAATACTAAAAGCCAGTGCACGTATATACACGAGTATTAGGCGAAATGATACTTAACGCTGCGTTAGTATCGAAAAGGTAACGGTAAGGGTAACCGAGAGCTCTGTACGTTTTTGTGTATCACAAATGTTCAAGGACTACTTCAATCTCAACTGCCTTTCACGAATACATCTGCGCAAAGTACAGTTCGGTATTTCACTCGATTGGGAATTTTAAAGGAGCCGTTTAGAACTTTGTGCGAATGAGTTCGGTTCGATAAATCTTCCGTGATTGTATGTTTTTGAATTACCTTTAATTTTCGTGAGAATTTCTTCAGTAATGGAATGTGTGGGATATCTGTAATGGCCCTCTCTTAATTCTATAGTGAATCAATAATTTACTGATGAAAGCACTGCAAGTGTAAAGTTGCAGAGATGTGATGAGATTATCATTTGCTGCTTCATTGCCAAAGAATATCGATGGTTGGCCTATTTCCAACTTGCAGATAAAGAAGTCAAGCTGACGATCTTTTCTGAACGTCTTTAATTTGTCATTGGCCCCGTTTGCCCAACTGAATCACTCTTTCGCTTCAGTTACCTGGCTCGCGTCTAATAAACCGGCCGTACGCAGCCCAGGCTCTCCCGGGGATCGGCCCAGCCAAACATTAACTCATCGACGGTGATCTGGGAAATCTCCATTTTTTTTATTTCACGATTGAATTGCTTTCAATCACACGGCGATTTAGCTTGGCGTTACGCAGGCAGTCTACTGTTTCACTGCAGAGATTTCGCGCTATGATAGGTTATTTCAGTTTGTGCATCGACATTCAGTGACGTATGGCAGATGGGCAGTTGCAGTGTTCTCATGCAGTTTTTGTATTTTTGGGAGTTTTGGTAATTTTGGAGAATTCCAAATAAGCTGCACAGTACATTTGTCTTAGTTTGAATAAACGAAGAAGTTACACAAGATGTCTGTCTATTTAAAGACACAGACACAGTCTAGTTTCTTTTTCTTATTCTTTCCCAAATCCCGTAGACTTTGTCCGCTTTTACGCAGCACTAAAGATCTATATAATTATC